TCCTAATTTTTTTAAGGGAAATGATGGATTTTTTTGATTTCGGGTCAGATTTTCCATAAATTCTGCATTTTCGGGTTTTGATATCAAAGGAAAAAATATTCTCCATAAAATTTCACTATAAGTCTCCAACGATAATAAATCACAATCTATAATATATATACTTCAAATATCGGTAACAATTGGAGGTTTTTTCTTTGTTGTTAGCAATTCCGTACGTTTACGATTTATAGTTGATTTTTTTACCTCAAAACTTTATTCTAGGGAGTTTAGCTAAAGGAGACAAATATTCTCCATAAAATTTTAATATGGGTTGGGGAACACACGAAATCGATAGCAATAATATTTTCCACTGAAATAACATGAAAAATTAAAAAAAAAATATTTTTGTCTGTTTTTAAAAAAAATATGGACCTTTTCAATTTAGGGTCAGATTTTTCATAAATTCTGCCTTTTTGGGGGGTGGTATCAAAGGAAGAAATATTCTCCATAAAAATCGATTACGGGTCACCAAACACAATACATCGATTGCTATAATATTTTCCACTGAAATACCGTCACAATTTTCATAAATACTTTTTCCTTATTTTTTTTTTAAGAGAAATTATGAACCTTTTCGATTCGAAGCCAAAATTTCGGTAAAAACTGCATTTTTCGGTGAGGGTATTAAGAGAAAAAATATTCTCCACAAAATTTCGTTATAAGTCTCCGAAGAAGATAAATCTCTAGCTATAACATATATTAAGGTTTTGGACCTAAAACAATATAGTTTGTTCATTTTATGGGATTTCTGTTGCACATTTAAAATTTGTTGTCATCTCAGTTGTGGTTCTTGTTGTGTTACCCTTTAATAAAAAACAACAACAATAAAAAATACAACAACATCATACATCCATGCAGGGAATTATAATATAAAATATTGAAACCAAAATGCTAGTATTTGTTATTCACATGTATGCAATATATCACGGACTCTCGTGTGTGTGTGTGTCCCTGTAAGTGTGGTTAAGTCCGAAAAAAACAGAAGTACAACAAATCCCACCATAAGATATAGCCAACCAGAAACACCCACACACCCACTGACAACACTAGGGAAGTAAGAAAAAAAGTCAACAACATGGAAAACTAAATGCATTTAGTGAAGCCGCCTTCATTACCACTCCCATTTTTTCTTTCAGTTGGGCGCCATTTCTTCTCCTCAAAAAAAAGTGGAAGAAAAAAACTTTCAAATGATGCCATACATTTCCCTTTTATGTCAACGATTATAATGAGTGTGTGTAATGTCCGTTTTTTTTTCGTTGGGTCCATGCTGCTTCAAGAATTATAATATGTGCGATATTTTTGGTTCCTTTGTAGCCGTAACAAATAAAATAAATTTCATAAGCATGCGTTTCAAATCTTTTTTCGCTGTCCCTTTTCGCCCAGTAAAAAATGGGTGGAGGCCAGCAACAGAAATTTCTTTATGACCCAAGAAACCGATGCCAAAAAAAAATTAAAAATTATTAGCTTAAAATCTACATGCCTCCCGCACAAATTCTGAAAGGATTTACCTCCCACCCCCACCAAAAAAATATTGGCCACTTTTTGCCAGCTGCTGTTTTTATATCCTGCGGCAAATGCGCATAATGAGCGCGTATTACACATTTTTGCATATGCAGTTATTTTTTTTTTTTTCACCAAAAAAAAAAGTCCTTTATGTCACAAGAAAAACTAGGAAAAAAATTGCATTTATTTAGGGGAGGGGTCCCAGTACTAATTTTTTTACTGACCAGATTTTCCATTTGCCAAAGTTTCGTTAACGCGTTTTTTTCACTCCACAAAAAAACGGTAACAACAACAAATGGTTAATGTACATGTCCTTCTATGTGCGTTGTTGTTTTTTTCTCTCTCGTCCTCCACATTTCTTATCCTTGCCTCTTGTTTTTTATTAAGCGTAAATCCTTTCCCGTTTAGATAATGATATGTGGTTACAGTTACTTTGTTCAAAATTATTCAAAAGGTTTTCGTTAAGCTTTGGGCTGTGGCAGGACAAATGACTAAAAAAAACTACATCGTACACAAATAAATTTTACTGGACATATTTTTTTGGTACCATAAAACTCTCCTAGAGGGTGAGGATCAGGGGAACTCTGCATTAATTCTCAACTGGGCGTAGATTTTTAAGCAATGTTTTTTTATTATTTCGCTCTCTCCCTCTCTGTGGACATATAAATAATTTGTTAAGAGTTGTAGACATAATTATAAGTGGATGTATCACGAAAAAAATAAAAAATACGGCGCTGGATTTAATGTATATTAAAAGAAATAAATGATTTTTGGGGGACAAGGATAATTTTACCCGAAAAAGGAGCACTAACTGGATCTGAATTGAATGGACCCAAAATGAAGCTTTTTCAAAATGTACCAAAATTTCCTCCATATATTCGTTTTAGGTAATGGGTGTCAGTGGAAAAATTATTCTCCACGAAATTTCATTATAGGTCACCGTCGGAAAAAAATCTGTAGCTGCAGGATATAACCTGAAAAAATCGAAGGAAATAGAAAAATGCATTTTTAACTGCTTTTAGGGTAATATTTAAAAGGGGTTTTTATTTAGGCTCAAATCTTCCAGAGAACTTTGTTTTAGGAGGTTGCGATAAAAGAGAAAATTGTTCTACACAAAATTTCATTAAAGATCGCCGACCAAAAGAAATCTGCAGCTGCAGGATATCACCTAAAAAAATCGGAAGAAAATAGGAAAATCCATTATTTTGTTGATTTTCTGCATAATATTTTAAAGGCTCTTTTATTTAAGCTCAAAACTCCTCCAAAGCTTCGTTATAGAGGGTTGCGATGAAAGAGAAAATTGTTCTACACAAAATTTCATTATGGGTCACAGACCAAAAGAAATCTATAGCTGCAGGATATCAACTGAAAAAATCGGAATAAAATAGAAAAATTCATTTTTTAATGATTTTCAGTGTAATGTTTAAGAAGATTTTATTTTGGCTCATATCTGCCACAAGGCTTTGTTATAGAGGGTTGCGATGAAAGAGAAAATTGTTCTACACAAAATTTCATTATGGGTCACAGACCAAAAGAAATCTGTCGCTGCAGGATATCACCTCGAAAAAATCGGAAGAAAATAGAAAAAATTCATTTTTACTGATTTTCTTGAAAATATTTAAAAGGGTTTTTCATTAAGGCTCAAAACTCCCACAAAACTTCGTTTAAGGGAGTTGTTGTAAAATAGAATAATGTTCTGAACACAATTTCATTGTAGGTCACCGACCAGAGAAAACCTCCAGCTATAGTATATAATATGAAAAAATCGAAAGAAAATGGAAGAAATCATTTTTTTACTGATTTTCTTTAAAATATTTAAAAGGGTTTTTTATTTAGTCTCAAATCTCCCCCAAATCTTCGTTATAGAGGGTTGCGATGAAAGAGAAATTTGTTCTACACAAAATTCCAATATGGGTCAATGAACAGAAGAAATCTGTAGCTGCAGGATATCACCTGAAAAAATCGGAAAAAATAGCAAAATGCATTTTTACTGATTTTCCTTATAATCTTATAAAAGCTCTTTTATTTGAGCTCAAATCTCCCACAATACTTCGTTTTAGTGGGTTGCTATCAAAGAGAATAACGTTCTACACAAATTTTCTCCCCCCCCTAATGCTATCGTTATTATGAGGTATTATTTATACTGATTTTTTAATAATACATTTCATAGGTTTTCCAATTTTAGAAAGAGAAATTTAAATGTTCTACACAAAATTTCATTATAGATCATCGACCAAAAGAAATCGGAAGCTATTGTTTATAACCTGGAAATAACGCTACAAAATATTAAAAATTAATTTTGTCCCAATTTTCAGAAGAATTTTGCATATGTTTTCCGATTTGAGCCCAAATTTCCCTCAATTCATCACGTTAGGGCGTTGCAGTTAAATAGGAAATTATTCTACATCAAATTTCAATATAGGTCATCGGCCAAAAGAAATCTGTATCTATAATATCTAACCTGCAAACATTGCAACAATATCGAAAAAATATTTTTTTACTAATTATCTGGATAATGTTTCATATGTTTTCCGATTTGAGCTCAAATCCCCCTTAATACTACATTTTAACAGGTTGGCATTAAAGGGAGAAATGTTCGACACAAAATTTCATCGTAGGTCTCCGACCACAACATGTCTGTAGCTATAGTATATAACCTAAAAATAACGCTTCGAAACATAAAAAAATATTTTTTACGGAAATTCTAGATAATGTTTCATATGTTTTGCTATTCGGATCGATATCTGCCTCATTGCTTCGTTTTAGGGGTTTGGTGTCAAAGATGAAATTATTCTACACAAAATTTCATTGTAGGTCACCGACCAAAAGAAATCGGTAACTACAGTATATAACCTAACAAAAATCGAAAAGTAATAGAAACTTTTATTTTTTACTGATTCCCTCCTAATATCTCATATGTTTTGCTATTTGGCTTCAAATCTGCCACAAAACTTCGTTTCAGGATATCGATGCCAAAAAGAAAATTATTCTACACAAAATTTCATTGAAGGTCGTAGAATTCAGAATTTCTCTAACTACAATACAAATCATAAAAATATTGAAAAATAAAACGTCAATCGATTTTTTCTGCTTTATTCATATTCAATTTTTTTGGAATTTCCCCAAATGTAGCCCCTACACCTCCTTTTACGGGGTTGATACTAAAGGGGATATTGTTCTACACAAAATTTCACAATAGGTCACCGAACTCTATTAAGCTGTAGCTATAATACATAACCTAAAAATATTATTATAAATTTTATATATGACTTTATATTTGTTAGCTTTTTTCTCCATAGCATCCTCTCACCTCCCTCGCCGAACAAGCTATTTTAAATCCCAATTGTAAATCACATAGATTTTATGATTACAATTGTTGTTGTTTTTTATCTTCTTCTTCTTTTACAACTGTTCCTAATGCTAACTTCCTTTTTTGTTTTGTTGTTTCTTTTTTGCAGAACCTCTAATTTGGATGGCCACTTCTTTGCAAATAATCCACATTTGGAATTACGACAATTACGCTGGCATCCGGCCTCACCCACCGATTCACATTTGCTAGTTTTGCTGTCGGACAATACCATAAGGTAAGTTTTTAAACATAGGAGACACACAAAGAGGTAACGAAGAGAGGACAGCTTCTGCCATTTTGTAGACAATATTTATTAGCAACTAATTTTCTAATCCACATGCAACTAAAAATTTCACATCGTTTTTTTTCTAATTTTTTGCAGAGTTTATGATAATGCCTCATTACGCCATGTTTGGCAAGTCGGACCCCTACCCTTAAAAAATGATAATAACCTAAATCCTTCAACGGTGTATGCGCTCGGTGAGGCTGCTGTGGATTTTGATATTGCCCCAGCTGTTAATGTGGCCGAAATGCAAGTGAACACAACTAATACAACCATAAACAAGGATCAAAGTGTGCTCATGAATAGTACCCGGCTAAATCAGAATACCAACAAGACCATAATTGGTGAGACCAAGGTGAGTAAGAATTAAGAAATTTAAAAAAAAAATACTTACTACATGTGATTGCATATTTTCAGGCACCCTCCAATAAATTACCCGAAAAAATTGAATGGCCCATTGTCATATTGAGAGAAAATGGTAATATTTATGTTCTCATGTCGGGATTAGATACGGAGAGGTGAGCGGAACTATCAAAAATAGCTTTATTTTATTATACTATTTTTAATTTTTTTTCACTTCTTTGCTTCCAGACCCCGTTTACAGGGCCCCATTACCATTACACCCTCGACTGTGGATAATTATGGTTTGGATTCATGTTCAATTTTGGTCATACCCTCATTGCCACCCACTTTGGTTATTGCCGAGACTAATGGTAAATTACATCATGCCTTGTTTTTGGAAGCTGAAAATGCCGAGGATGTAAGTTGAACTCGCAATTTCTTGGTTATATATTACAGCTAACGATTTCCTTTGTTCCCTGACCTACAATGGAATTTAGTGTAGAATATTTTCCCCTTTGGGTCTAATATCCAAAAAACGGGGTATTGTGGCATATTTGAGGTCAAATCGGAAAATCGACAATATTTTTCCTAAAAATATCAGTTAAAATATATTTATTTTCATTGGTAGTGATATTTTGAGGTTATATATTATATCTATAGATTTCTGGTGTTCCATGACCTAGTAGGGAATTTTGTGTAGAATAATTTACTCTTTGATACCAATCTGCTAAGAGGTCGCTTTATGGTAGAACTGGACTCAAATTATTAAGCCTATTCATAGATTTTTTGATAAGAACAGTATAAATAATATTTAGATTTTGTTTGTCGGTATTTCCGCGTGATACGCTATAGCTACAGATTTTATTTGCTTTATGACCTATAGTGAAATTTTCTGAAGAATAAATTTTCCTTTAGCACCAACCCCATAAAACGAAGTTCTGTAGGAGATTTGGGCTCAATTCGCAAAGTCCATAAAATTGTATGTAAAAAATCGGCCATAACATATTTCTATATTTGTTTGGCTATATTTCCCGCTTATGTATTAGAGTTACAGATTTCTTCTGGTCGATGACCCGTAATAGAATTTTCCGGAGAATAATTTTCCCTTTGACTCCAAATCCCTACAACGAAGTATTGTCGAAGATTTGAGCTTAAATCACAAAAGCTTTGAAATTTAATATAAAAATTCGGTCATTTAATTTTTCTATATTTTTTTGGACCATATTTTCCGGTTATATATAAGAGCTAGAGGTTTCTTTTGGTCGATGACCTATAGTGGAATTTTCTGGAGAATAAATTTCCCCTTAGAACCAATCCCATAAAACGAAGTTTTGTAACAGATTTGAGCTTAATTCGAAAAATCTATAAAATTTTAGGTAAAAAATCAGCCAAACCCTATTTCTATATTTTTGTGGCCATATTTCCCGCTTATGTATTAGAGCTACAAGTTTATTTTGGTCTATGACCTATAGTGAAATTTTCCGGAGTATAATTTTTTCTTTTAAAACGAGATTTTGGCTATATTTTCCGCTTATTTATGAGAGTTACAGATTTCTTTAGGTCGATGACCTATAGTGGAATTTTCCGGAGAATAATTTTTCCTTTAGTCCCAATCACATAAAACGACGTTTTGTAGGAGATTTGAGCTCAAATCACAAAAGCTTTGAAATGTAATACAAAAAATCAGTCATTTAATATTTCTATATAATTGTTGCCATATTTCCCGATTTTATATTAGAGTTTCAGATTTATTTTGGTCGATGACCTATTATGGAATTTTCCGGAGAATAAATTTCCATTTAGCACCAACTCCATAAAACAAAGTTTTGTAGGCAATTTGAGCTGAATTCGCAAATCCCATGAAATTTTCATTAAACATTTATTTTATATATTGTTCCGATATTTCCCCATGATATTCCATAGCTCCAGATTTGACCTGTTCGGTGACCTGTAATGGAATTTAGAGTGGAAGAAATTTCCCTTTGACACCAATACATTATTATGAACGTTTTCAGGGAGATTAAGGCATAAATCGGAAATCTTTAAAAAAATTATATAAAATCAGTATTTTCTATTTTGAGGTTATATTTCCGCATAAAATATTGGACCTACAGATTTCTTGTGTTCTGTGACCCGTGGCGAATTTTTGTGTAGAATAATTTCTCCTTTGCCACCAATACCCTAAAATATAGTTTTGAGGGAGTTTGAGGCATAAATCGGAAATCATTTAAAATAATCAATATAAAATCAGTATTTTCTCTTTTGAGGTTATATTTCCGAGTGCTATATTAGACCTACAGATTTCTTATGTTCTGTGACCCTTGACGACATTTTGTGTAGAATAATTTCTCCTTTGTCACCAATACCCTAAAACATCGTTTTGAGGAATTTTAAGGCATAAATCGGAAATGTTTTAATAAAATCAATATATAATCAGTATTTTGTATTTTGAGGTTATATTTCTGCATAACATATTAGACCTGCAGGTTTCCTGTGTTCTGTGACCCGTGATGAATTTTTGTGTAGAACAATTTTCCCTTTGACACTATCTTCCTATCATAAAGTTTTAAGTCATTTTTAAGGTCTATTTGAAAACCCTTTTTATCTTTTTTCGATCTTCACCTATTTCCATGTTTCATAACCTTGTGTTTCTTCTTCTTCCTCCTTTCCAGTCCTTCAACGAAGTTGATGATAGCCTCATAATCCATCCCTGTGAATGGACCGTGCATGTTTTGGAAACTGTCGAACTGGAGCTGGGTCTACCAAAAGATGATGTAAATCAACCATATTTTTGCCCCATTCATCTTAAGAGGTAAGGTTTCTTCTTTTTGGAAAAAAAATCGGAAATTGAAATTAAATCCGAATTTCTTTTAATTTTTTTCCAGAGACTTCATCAATGAGTTGCGTTACTTTGCCTATCACAATACCGGTCTGCATGTCATCACGGTTAATTTTATTGGCGAATTGCAACGATTTTTGGAAAATGATGGTAAGGTGGTAGCCTCGATTTTTGCCTTTAAAAGCTATGGTAGATTTTAATTTTGAAAGTTGTTCAAGAAATATCCTGAAAGTTCTTCTGGAAATATTTTTGTAAAAAATCTCTTTAAAATGTCCTTTTAAATCTAATTTTCCTTTTACCTTCCAGTTGATACGGATATAACCTCACTTTCAACACCCTCTCACGCTGAGTATTTGGTGTGCACCAAAATCGATACAGGAGACAATGTAAATGCCGTCTTGGGTTTTGTCCTGCTACAAATGCCCTCCTGTATTGTTCTTCTCTTAGCCAGTGGTCAAGTTATTACCCTCAAATTGGTCATCGATGCCAAACTTCTATTGGATTCCCAAACAAAATCCAAAGACGATACGGTACTACAAAAACCCGATGATGCCAATCAAAATCAATTAAATCAACTCCTACTGGGACCCTCGTTTGTCGATCACATACGCAACATGTTGAAACGTAGTGTAACCCAACCAATTCTGTCTTTGGATAAATCCAATAATCCAACACCACAAGAATGCTATGAACTGCTGACCCAAGCCATTGAGGTGTTGCGTAGCCAATATTTGAAACGTCACGAATTGGTAAAGGCCGAATTTGCCAAACGTATCCACACCATTAAGCTGTGTCGTGACCAGCAGAAACAGGATATTGCCGATTTGGAAAATGAACGTGAGGAAATTCGTGATAAGGCCCACAAATTGGCCGAACGTTTTGAGGAGCTCAGCGATAAACAGGAGGTCTTGACGAAAATGTGAGTATATTTGATCGACAAGGGAATTCGAAGAGTACTAATTTATTACTCAGATAATTTTTAAAAATTTCAAAGTGTTGGAAATCCGCTTAACCTTATCTTGGTTTGGTCTTGCTTTTAATTTTTTTTACGGAATTCCCTTTAGACTTCCTTTTTCTAATATCGTATCGGTCTCTATATCTTCCAGCTGCCAAGACCTCATGCGCCAGGCCAACACCTGTTTGCCCAGCAACTCGCTGGCCGAAAAAGAATTTGCCCAGGAGGTAGAACGCATTAATAAGCTAACCAAAAATATGACCAATGCCCTGCAGAAGTGTAAAGAATCCATCAACAAACAGAGTTATCATGTGAGTATTATATAGCCAGATGATTCCGGAATAGCTTTTGATTTTTTTCTCCATTATTTTCAGATTTCCAAATATCAAGAAAATACGAAAAAGAAAACCTTCGAATTGCCCGAAACCCAGGAGCGTACAATAAAGGAGATTCTATTGCAAATGTAAGTAAGGAAACAAGATTGGAAAATTCGAAAATGTAATGGAGAACCCCATTCCCCAGATGAGGTTCTTATTTCATTTGCTTCAGAAGTTTTTTTCTTCTAAATTTGCCCACCACCTATCGGCCATTAATTGAACTAAAATATATGAGAACTGTTTTTTATTGTGGACTTGACCCCATAGACTGTTCTCATTCGATGTGTTTAGCCTAGACAAGACCCTGAAACACCGTTTCGTTTTCATTTTATTCCCTCATCTTCCCAACAGCCGTTTCTTCGGCATCGAACTGAATAGAATGAATTCGGCAGGTCTTAGCTGGAAGGGACCAAACCGGCCCCCAATTAAATTGTGCAATAACCGAATAGAATGAATTCGGCAGGTCTTAACTGGAAGGGACCAAACCGGCCCCTAATTAAATTGTGCAATAAAAAGCGTTCAGGACCATTAAAAAATATTATCCTAACGAACAGAAGAATATTTTTTCATTTGGACCCGCTGCAAACAATTAGTTTCCCTCAGGTCCTCTAAAGGTCTTAACAGCTTCGTGTCTATAAATAATAAAAACAACCCAAATTCTCTTCGAACCTTAATTACCCGCTGCCCGCTGCAAACAATTAGTTTCCCTCAGGTCCTCTAAAGGTCTTAACAGCTTCGTGTCTATAAATAATAAAAACAACCCAAATTCTACCTTAATTAAATAGTACAATAAAAAGCGTTCAGGTCCATATAAAAAATAATATTTTTCTCAAATCCAGATGAATATTTTTTCCTTCAGACCCGCTGCCAAAATTTGTTTACTTCAGGTTCTCTAAAAAAAATTTTTTTTGTGACGGAAGGAGGCTAAATAAGACTAAAATGGGTCGTTTAGGTAAAGGTGACCTGTTCTGTCTATAAAACATTTTTTTGACCCTAAAGAGGACCCCTTCGAAAGGTCTTATGTCGAAAGAAGAAACCTTCGAAGGGGTTTCAAATTTCAAAAAAAAAATCACTTTGAAGGGTCTACTGTCTAAAAAAGACCTCTTCCAAGAATTCTTTTGACCTTTAAAGGGTCTTTTGTCTAAAGAAGACAATTTCGAAGGGATTTAAAATGAAAAAAAAATCATTTCCAAGGGTCTACTGCCTAAAAGAGAAGGGTTTTCTGCTAAAAAAAAACTCTTAGAAGGGTTTTCTGACGAAAGAAGACACCTTCTGCCTAAAGAGGATCAATTCGAAGGATCTTCTGCCTAAAAGAGACCTCTTCAAAGGGTATTCTCTTTAAAAATGATTTCTACGAAGGTTCTTCTGTCTGAAATAGACACCTTCGAAGGATCTTCAATATAAATATGCTATCATTGAAGGGGCTTCTGCCTAAATAAGGCCTTTTAGAAGGGTATTCTGTCTAAAGAAGACATCTTCGAAGTGTCCTCAGTCTAGAGAAGTCCTCTTCGAAGAGTCTTCTATCTAAATAAGGCCCCTTCAGGGTCCTCTGTCTAAATAAGGCCTCTTCGAAGTGACCTCTGTCTAGAGAAGTCCTCTTCGAAGAGTCTTTTATCTAAAGAAGGCCTCTTCGAATGGTCCTCTGTCTAAATAAGGCCTCTTCGAAGGGTCCTCTGCCGAAAGAAGACCTCTTCGAAGAGTCTTCTATCTAAAACAGGCCTCTACAAAGGGTCTTCTGTATAAAGAAGACCTTTTCGAAGTGTATTCTACCTAAATAAGGTCCCTTCGATGGGTTCTCTGTCTAAATAAGGCCTCTTCGAAGTGTCATCTCTAGAGAAGTCCGCTTCGAAGAGTCTTCTATCTAAAGCAGGCCTCTTCGAAGGGTTCTCTGTATAAAGATGGCCTCTTCGAAGGGCTCTTGTATAAAGAAGGCCTCTTGGAAGGGCCCTCTACCGAGAGAAGTCCTCATCGAAGGGTCTTCTGAATAAAGAATACCGTTTCGAAGTGTATTCTACCTAAATAAGGTCCCTTCGAAGGGTTCTCTATCAAAATAAGGCCTCTTCGAAGTGTCATCTGTAGAGAAGTCCGCTTCGAAGAGTCTTCTATCTAAAGAAGGCCTCTTCAAAGGATCTTCTGTCTAAATAAGACTTCTTCGAAGGGTCCTCTGTCTAAATAAGGCCTCTTCGAAGGGTCCTCTGCCTAAAAAAGTCCTCTTCGAAGAGTCTTCTATCTAAAGAAGGCCTCTTCGAATGGTCCTCTGTCTAAATAAGGCCGCTTCGAAGGGTCCTCTGCCGAAAGAAGTCATCTTCGAAGGGTCTTCTGTATAAGGAAGACCTCTTCGAAGTGTATTCTATCTAAATCAGGCCTCTTCGAAGGGTCCTCTGTCATAATAATGCCTCCTCGAAGGGTCTTCTGTCTAAATAAGGTATTTTTGAAAGGATTTCGTGTCTAAAGAGGATCACTTCGAAGGGTCTTCTGCCTAAAGCTGACCTCCTAATAATTATTAATCTTTCTTTTTCCCCTTATTTTTCTCTCTTTCCAGGACCGCTGAAATTGATGGCCAAATCAAAGAAGTCAAGCGCATCTCAAAAATTGTGGGCATCTAATTAGAACCCATTCCCTACCATTTTTTTATTTCTAAGAATTCTACTTACCAATAAACCATAAATTTAAAATGAAAATAAAAAAAATAGATTTGATTATTTTTTTGTTCTCTTCTTCTTCCTTTTCTTTTTAGCTTTCTTACGTAATCTATTATATTTTCTTATATGACTAACAATTAAGGGTTTCAATTCTTGACGTTTGTGTTTACGCCACGATATCGACAATAATATTAAGGAGTTAACATAAAAAAATAATCTTAAAAAATAGGCTTCATCATCGGCGCTATTTTGTCCGGTGCCATCCCAATAGAAATGATCACGAATATTATCATAGACAGCATTCATACAGATATAGGTTAGAATGGTGGCACAACGTTGCACATCCAACCATTTGCCACGGGCCAACAGGGCCAAGATGGCCTCGTGGGCATAATCAATAAGTCAATGATCTATCAATGGGCCCCAGAACATTTTCGAGATCTTTGTTTCGTCTTCGGTTAGGAAGAATTGACGGCCCAAATGGACGAATTCTTTGAGCGATAGTTGGCCATCGCCGTTTCTATCTATCACAGCAAATGAAATGGCGGCATCCTCGTTGGAGAGGCCCAAACAGCGGAAGAATAATTTATATTGATCCAGATCCAAGTAACCGGAATGATCGTAATCCACAGCCTACAACGAAAAAAATAATTTAAAATAAAACCAAATAAGTGAGGTTAGTTAATCGCTTACCTTAAACAAATATGGCAAAAATCTGCCCATCGATTTGAACATTTTCTCATCGTTCAAACGATGATGGAGATCTGTCAAAAACTGTTCAGCATTCACCAAGTTGTAGGGGCTGATTTCACCGAACTGTTCAATCCAAGTTTCTTCCATAACCTTGAGAAATTCGGCCGACAGTTCTTCATTCAAATGACCCAAATCGGTAAAGCGTTTATGCAACAGTTTGAAGTCGTCGAAAGAGATAACACCATCACGATTAACATCCAAGATGCGGTGAAGGGTACGCATTTTGCGGCGCCAAAATTCAGTGTCACCCTGCAGGAAGAAAAATAAATTTTTTGAGGTTATATTACAAAAAATTTCACTTGGAATTTCTCTCTCAAAATAAAAAATTTACACCCAAAAACGTTTTACAAAAGACTAATGAACCCGATCACTGACCGGAATTTTTAATTATGTTTCTTTTTTTTGTTTTGTTTTGGTAAAAATTTACCAAAAACAAAAAAGGCAATCTAACCTCATTATCAATGCAAGTCATAAGTGTGTAACGAGGTGTTGTTGTTGTTGTCCGAAAAATATTGTAATTACAACAACGATTAAGACACGCGCAAGAGATTACATTGAAAATAACAATTGAAGAGATTTCTATTAAAAACTGAAGAGTCTTCGATTATTGGATGTCATTTTTAAAGATCTCGTAACTAAAGAAGATCTAACTAAAGGGTCCTTTGTCTATAAAAGACCGCTTTGGAGGATTTTCTGTCTAAAGAGAACTTATTCGAAGGGGTTTCGGGCTAAGAAAGACTGGTTCGAAGGGACTTCGGTATGAAAATACCCTCTTCGGATGTTCTTCTGTATTGAGAAGGCCTCTTCCAAGGGTCTACAGCCTAAAGAATACCATTTCGAAGGGTCTTCTGCTTAAAGAATACCTCTTCGAAGGGTCCTCTGTCTAAAGAAGACCTCTTCGAAGTGTCCTCTACCTAAAGCAGGCTCTTCGAAGCGTATCCTGTCTAAAAATGGAGTCTTCGAAGGGTTCTCTGTCCAAAGATGGCCTCTCCGAAGCGTTCCCTGTTTAAAGAAGACCTCTTCGAAGGGTCTAAAGGGAGTTTTCTATCTAAAGAATGTCTCTTCGAAAGGTCTTCTATCTAAAGATGGCATCTTTGAAGCGTCTCCTGTCTAAAAATGGCCTCTTCGAAGGGTCCTCTGTCTAAAGAAAACATCTTCGAAGAGCTTTCTATCTAAAGAAGGCCTCTTCGAAAGGTCTTCTATCTAAAAAAGGCCTCTTCGACGGGTCCTCTGTCTAAATAAGCCCTCTTCAAAGGGTCCTCTGCCTAGAGGAGTCCACATCGAAGGGTCTTCTGTATAAAGAAGACCTCTTCGAAGTGTATTCTATCTGAAGCAGGCCTCTTCAATGGGTTCTCTGTCTAAAAATGGCTTTTTCCAAGGGTTCTCCGTATAAAAATGGCTTCTTCGAAGGGTTTCTGTATAAAGATGGCATCTTCGAAGTGTCCTCTGCCTAGAGGAGACCTCTTCGAAGTGTCCTATGTTGAGAAAAGACCTTTTCGTAGTGTCCTGTGTCTAGAGAAGACCTCTTCGAAGAGTTTTCTATCTAATGAAGGCTTTTTCGAAGGGTCTTCTGTTTAAAAAAGGTCTCTTCAAAGGGTCTTCTGTATAAAAAAGGCCTCTTCGAAGGGTCCTCTGTCTAAAAAATGTCTCTCCGAAAGGTCCTCTGTCTAAAAGTGGCCTATTCCAATGGTTATCTGTCTAAAAATGGGCTCTTCGAAGGATCGTCTATCGAAAAATGGCCTCTTCGAAGCAAAAGAAAATAACTTCGGTGAGAATTCTACCTAAATGAGACACGTGATCGAAGGGTTTAGATCACTTTGAGGGGTCACTTTGAGGGGTCTTAAGACGGTCTCTTCGAAGGAGCTTGGCTTTCCAATAGTAGGGATTCCATTATAAAATAAAATATTCTTCCCCCTTACCTTTTGACTATATTTCTTGTGTAGATCTTGACGTTTACGCTCGTACTCATCATCTGAATCCGAATCACTGTCACTTTCCTCCTCTTGCTGGCGTTTTAGATTTTTCACTTTCTTATTATAGATGCCAGTGCTGGGTGCAACGGTACTGTTCGGTGGTACTGGTGTCTGTAAATACTGTGGCGTTTGGCGTATTAAAGCTTGGCTGGATGTTGAAATTGGGCGTGCGGAATGACTGGGCTGTAAATAAAGAAAACAACAAAAACAAGAAAATAAGAAAATGACATTAAAACAATAAATAAAGAGAGGGTGAGGAAATCTTTAAAAATCAACAACAAAAGCAGAGCGGAATGCCCCCACTCTATCGTTTTAAGAAACGAAGTAAATCGAATGGTCTTAAATGCTGGTTGTTGTATTTGTTTTAGGCAATCCCAATTGATGATTGAGTAAATATTTGGAGTGCTTTCAAATGAGTTTGAAATTAAAAGATTTTATTTATTTATTTTCCTTTTTTTTTGAGGTTAGGTAATATTTTTTGGGCTAAGGTTGGAGTAAATAAATTAGAAGCTTATGAAAATATTGAGAAATATAAACAAGTAAATAATAATATTGTTTAATTAATTATTCAAATTACCGGGAATTATTTAAAATTTTGATAAACAGCTGTTACCCAAGGTACAACAATTGCGATGAAATGGTTTCCGATTTTATGGATACGTGTTTATGAAATGAATATAGTTTTGGGCATATATTTGATTAATTTTTAAACAATATTAATTATTTATTTTGTTGATTGCTAATTTACTAAAAATTTGTTTACAATTTCATTGTCCTTTACGTTAGGGTTCACTGAGTTCATTTTAGTGAACGTTAATCCTGTTCACATTATAAGATATTTAAATTGTCGAGGAAATTTTCAACCAAATTGGCTATAATTTGGAATATTGGTTCTTTATGGGACAGCTAATCTTCGTACCAAAAATGATCCATATTGGTCCAATTTTTCGGGTGTCCTCCATAGAAGGGTACACCCAAATATTCGGTATTTTGAAGATTGTGGCCACGTTTTTTGAGCAAATGGACTGTAATTTGGTACTTTTAGTCCTTATGGGGTAGGGTAAACCTCCAAACAAAAATTATCAAAATTGGTACACTTTTTTGGGTAGTCTCCATATAAAGGTACCTTCCGAATTTTGGTATTCTGTAGATTTTAAGCACGCTTTTCAAATAAAATTGGTGTAAACTGGTACTTTGGGTTCTTATGAGGTAGGTAATCTTCCTACCAAAAATTATCAAGATTGGTACTCTTTTTTTGGGTAGTCCCCATATAAAGTTACCTTCCAAAATTTGGTATTCTGTAGATTTTGGACACGCTTTTCAACCGAATTGGATGAAATTTGGTATTTTGGTCTCTTATGAGATAGAAAAAATCGTTATTAAAATTTATTAATATTGGTCCACTTTTTAGCATAGCTCCCATATAAGGATAAATCCGAATATTTTGTATTTTGGGGATTTTGAGTACGTTTTCCAACCGAATTGGATGAAATTTGGTACTTTCGTTTTTTATGGGGTAGCAAATCTCCTTACCAAAAATTATTGATATTGGTCCACTTCTTAAGGTAGCTCCCATAGAAGAGTACCTCTAAAATGTTTGTATTTTAGGCAGTTTGGGGACATTTTCCAACCGAATTGGCTGTAATTTAGTATTTTGGATTCTTATTAGGTAGTAAATCTCCATACCAAAAATTATCAATATTGATCAAGTCTTTAGCGTAGCACCCATATAAGGGTACTTCCGAATTTTTTTGAATTTTGGATATTTTGAGGACGTTTTCCAACCGAATTGACTGTAATTCGATATTTTGGTTTCTCATTATGTAGTAAATCTCCATACCAAATATTATTAATATTTGTCAACTTTTAAGGGTAGCTCCTGTATTAAGGTACCTCCGAATTTTTTGAATTATGAGATTTTTGAACACGTTTTCCAACCGAATTGGCTGTAATTCGGTATTTTGGTTTCTCATTACATAGTAAATCTCAGCACCAAAAATTATCAATATTGGACCACTTTTTAAGGTAGCTCCCATAGAAGGGTACCTGCGAAATTTTTGTATTTTGGGCAGTTTGGGGACATTTTCCAATCGAATTGGATGAAATTTTGTATTTTAGATTCTCAGTATGTAGTAAATCTCCATACCAAAAATGATCAATATTGGACCACTTTATAAGGTAGCTACCATAGAAGGGTACCTCCGAAATTTTGGTATTTTAGGCATTTTGGGGACATTTTCTAACCGAATTGGCTGTAATTCAATATTTTGGTTTATTATTACGTAGTTAATCTCCATACCAAAAATTATGAATATTGATCAAGTTTTTAGCGTAGCCCCCATATAAGGGTACCTCCGATTTTGAGGATATTGAGCACGTTTTCCAACCGAATAGGCAGTCATTTGATATTTTGTATTATCATTGAATAGAAAATCTCCATACCAAAAATTATCAATATTGGTCGACATTTTAGGATAGCCCCAATATAATCGTACCTCCCAAATTTCGATATTTTCGGGAATGTTATCAAGTTTTTCGATCATATTGCCTGCAATATGGTACTTTGGATTCTTATGGGGTAGTAAACTTTCATATGATAAATTAACAATATCGGTTCATGTTTCGCCATAGAACGGTACCTCCCCTATTTTTCAATCTGGATGTCTATAAAGAGATACTTCATTTTCTTTTGGAAGCAATTTATGATGGCATTGTACCCTTAGAAACCACATACGATTTCAAGGATTTTGAATGGTGGAGGGTACTTTTTCACTTGTTTCAAAATATCATGTCCTTTCCCAATGTTCTATGGTTCAAAATTTCCTTAAAAAGGAACTAACTATTAAAAAAAACATGTTTGTTTTCGACAAGCCCCCTCTCTCCATTATTATTCTATGACCAAAAAAAGTATTTATTCCAAAATTTACATAAATTATATAAATTCGAATGGGTTTCATAAATATTCAACAAAAGAAGACACATTTCAAAACAAGTTTTGTTTTTTTTTTTTTCAAAATTAAATGGCAATAAATAAATAAAACGTGTAGTAGGTATATAGAAAATGTCTGGACAAACTCTTTTTTCGGCAAATAACCACGGCTTGTGTTTTTGTTTTCAATACAAAATTTTTTTACGCAGTATTTTGGCACACTTAAAAAAAACAAACAAAAAAGATTAGCCAAAAAAAAAATAATAACAGTCTGAGCCCATCTACCGTAAATTATGTTTTTTCGGTTCGGCCTGAAAAAAGAGCAGCGGCGCTCTATGCATATTTAATAACCTTGCCTGGCGGTGTTGGATAGCAGAGAATTGTGAAAGAATCGAATCACCATCAATAGAATTTGTCTAGTTTTTTTGGTGCTGTCGACTTCATTTATTTTTTTGAGAAGAACCTTGACAGAAGAAGCCCATTATCATGCGGAATAGATAATCAGCAGAAGAAGCGAAATACACAACATATTAATTTCCTCTTTATGTTCGCGGCTTGGGGTTTCTCTTTTCCGCAAGACGTTTATGGCAAAAATTAGATAAGATTTTGAAAAAGAGTTGATATTTAATATCTGAAATTTCCAAAAATACCAAAAAACTGATAATTACAATGTAAATTTAAGGCAAGACCCAATAAACAAGGGAAAACAAAACATTTTGAGGTTAGGAAAAATTAATGGGAGAAAACCGGGGGCCCACAGGCTATCAGACCTTATTTTATTGATAAATGTTGTTGTTATTTCCAGACAATTTCATAACTTTCTTTTCAATTTATTAACGAATAATTTTTTACGAATTTTTTGAGGTTGAAGGTAAGATAGGTATAGTACATAATTTTCCGATTCGCTGGACCTGTTAATATTAAATTAAAATACTCCATGCCCTTTTATGATTTTCTAAATACTATTTGTATTTATTTTGTTGTGTAATTTATAAAATTTATTAACAATTTTATTGTCCTTTACTTTAGGGTTCACTAGAGTTCCTTTAAGTGAACGCAAAGGCTGTTCAAATTAAAGATTAACAGGAAATTTGTTTATAAATGGAAATTATAATAAATAAAAAACCTGTTTACCGGTCCGGAAATGCTGCTAGTCACTAGCAGTGCATAATCATAACCTGTGATCGGAGTTCTGTTATTAGAGATAAATGAAGTCATAGTAATAAAAAGCGAGTCCAGCCAGAGTGTTGAAAAAAAAACAAGTGAAACATTTCGAATTTTGCCCAAATTTGTATAACCTCCACTGTAATATTGACATTCAGTATACCTAAAATCTATCGGAACTTCTATAAGGGAGACCTAAGCCAAGGTATATTGCTGGCAGGAGGACAAAATCACCAAAATATCTCTCCATGGCATTCACTATACCTAAAATCAATCGGAACTTTTTTAATTGAGGCCTAAGACATGGTAAATTGCTGGCTGGAGGACAAAATCACCAAAATATCGAATAATAAGAGTAGCATTTTATTGGGAGCTACACTGGAATTAATTTTTTATTGGTGGTAAGATTTTCTATCCAATGAGAATAAAAAATACTTAATTACAAAAACGTGCCAAAATCCCCCAAAATACTACAATTCGGATGGGGCTTAAGTCAAGTTTAGAGACTCCACTCGAATCGCTTTGAAATTTTTACCGTAAGTAGTCCTCGGTGAGCTGATTACAGTGATATAAATTTTTTTAAACTTGACTTGTTCCTTCGGAAGGTACCTCTGTATGAGGGCAACCCCAAAATGTACCCCAATATTCAGAATTTTTTGTGGAAATATTTTTTACCCAATGAGAACCCGAAATACCAAATTACAGCCCAATTCGGTTGGAAAATGCAACTAAAACCTTCAAAATACGAACAATTAGGGGTACAGTTATATGGGAGCTATACCACAACATGATCCGATATTAATAATTTTTGAAATAAAAATTTTCAGCCAAATTGGTTGGAAAAGGCGTTTAAAATCTTCAAAATATTGAAAATTTAGCGGTGCGATTATATGGTGGCAGCCCTGAAAAGTGGACCAATGTGCATAATTTTTGATTGGAAGATTTTCTATCCTGAGAGAACCTGAAATACTAAATTACAGGCAATTTTGTTGAATAACTTGCCCAATTACCACAAAATATCGAAATTTGGAAGATAACGTTATGTGAGGGCTATCCGAAAAAGTGGATCAATTTGGATATTTTTTAGTAGAAAGATTTACTACCCAGAGAGAACCTGAAACACAAAATTACAAGCTATTCGGTTAAAAACGTGCCCAAAATATCGAAATTTGGAAAAGAGAACCAATTTTGATAATTGTTGGTGAGAAGATTTGGCACACAATGATAACCAGAAATACCAAATTACAACCAATTTGGTTAAAAAAAGAAAATTCCAATATTTTTGATAATTAAAGACTACCCTAAAAAGTGAACCAATGTGGATAATTTTTGGTGAGAAGATTTGGCACACAGAGAGAACCTGAAATAGCAAATTACAGTCAATTTGGTTGAAAAACGTATCCAAAATGCTAAAATTTCAAATAATCGGTGGTATCGTATATATGAAGGGTAGCCTAAAAAATTAACCAATATTAATAATTTTTCGTGGAAACATTTGACTATCAATGAGAACCTGAAATACAAAATTACAGCCAATTCGGTTAAAAAAGTACACAAATTCCCGAAATATATCGAATTTCTGAAGGTACCGCTATATGATGACTACCCTAAAAAGTGGACCAATGTGGATAATGTGGGGAGATTTTCTACCCTGAGAGAACCTGATATACCAAATTACAGTCAATTTTGTTGAAAAAAATAACCAAATTTACCCAAAAATACCGAATTGTGGAAGGTTTCGCTATATGAGGACTACCCTAAAAGGTCGACCAATATTGATAATTTTTGGTGGGGAGATTTTTTACCCTGAGAGAACCTGATATACCAAATTAAAGTCAATTCGGTTAAAAAGCTTGTCAAAATTCCCAAACTATCGAAATTTGAAAGGTACCGCTATATGAGGACTTACCTAAAAGGTGGACCAATGTGGAAAATTTTTGGTGAGAAGATTTGACACACAATGAGACCCTAAAATACCAAATTACAGCCAATTCGGTTAAAAAACGTGGTCAAATCCCACAAAATAGCGAATTTTGGAAGGTAGCTCTTTATGAAGGCTACCCTAAAAAGTGGACCAATATGAATAATTTTTAGTGAAAAGATTTTCTACCCAGAAAGAACCTGAAACACAAAATTACAGGTCTTTCGGTAGGAAAAAGCGTCGAAAATATTGAAATTTTAGAGGTACGGATATTCTTAAAAAGTGGACCAATGTTGACAATATCCTTAAAATTAGGAATATTGGGGTGACTTTTATGGGATCTATACCAAAACGTGGACCGATATCTTCAACTTTCAATATCAAATAACCTAAGAGTAATGACAATGTATGGGCAAAATTCTCAGGCTCTATAGTAAATATTTGCCCCACCTATCTATGATATAAAATTGTTAAATCGACATCGAGACCAATTTCGTCGGACCATTGACTTCAATTATCCCATTGATGGCTCCAAATGCCACATCCTGATTATTTTTTTACAAACATTGAGGCCCCATCTAAAGGCTGTGATTTTGTCAACTGATTATCCAACTTCGTTACCGGAATCCTAATACGTAATAACTTTCATTCCCGTTTTTTCTACTTCTTCTTTCTCCATTTTTTTCTGTACATATCTGTTTCAGCATATTCCTTTTTATTATGCAGTTTCGTAATTACAACAACAATCAGCAACTTACTTGCATTTCAATATCCACAAGACCATTTAGCATTGAAATTGCACCGACAGCCATATTGCGTTCCAATAGCTCTCTGGAAGTGCGCAGGAGGCCACGACTAATCACGGAGAAGGCCATGATGTTACAAAAAAAGACACAAAGACGACGAAAAATAGGGGAAAATGTAAAGTTGTTCTTTTTTAACTTTTCACAAAAATTAATTTTTTTTTCAAAACTTTTCACAATATTTTTTTTTTTTCAAATGGTTTCAGATTTCGATTTTGTATTGAAATTGTCCGCACACGATTTTCTTGTTATTGTTGTATTCTTCAATTCCATTTAAGTTGGTTTTATAGATTTTTTTCTTCTTCGGTTTGGAGTCAGTTTTCCTTTTTTAACCGTTTCTTGTTTTTTATTTTAGTTTTGAAATTAATTTTTTTCAACCGTTTCAAGACGTCTGTTTGCCACAACGTTCGAATGTGTTTTGATTTCAATGCTGGAATTTCGTTTGCCAAGAAAACAAGCTGAGCAGCCCAGCCAGCCAGCCAGACGTGCAGGCCGGCCTGTGAGGCAAACAAAAACAACGGCAGCAACACTTCTTTTTGTTTGTTCGACAAAGGCAGAGCAGCAGCAGGTCCCATAACGTTCCTAGGTAGCCTCAGTCGCAGAATTCACACAACAAAAGCCATATCAACCTCCATTGTTGTTGTTGTATAGCTTTCCATTGATCATTATGATGATAATGATGTTGGCGATCAACATCATTATCACTTCGCTATGGTGTGCGGTATGTTCCAGACAAGGCGAGAGAGGTGGATTGTTTTTGAAACTGAAAACAATAACAATGTGAACCGGCAAACAAAAAACCACCAACAACAATGAATTCGAAATGAAATAAAGAAGTGCTGTAGTATACAAAGATCCAGAATGAAGGCGCGAATGGGTGCGGATAATGTAATATGGAGTAGGAGGAAAAAAACAGAGGGGATCAAAGTCTGGAAATTTAATTAAAAAAGTACTCTGTAAAGGCATTAGGTGGCAAGAGGGATTTTTTTTGGAAAGCCGGAAAAATGAAATTTTTCTTTCCAAATTTTAAAGTATTTTTAGGAAAAAAATTAAAAATATTTTTTTCACAAAACAAAAATATATTTTTTTTCCGAAAAATTCTTTTAAAGGGACCCCACCCATTCTCGATTTTAATTTTTTAAGATTTTCAATGGGCTGGTTAATCAATATCAATGCTTGTTAAGGTTTGTAACCTTGCACATTTTTTTTTAAAAGATTTTTACAAAAAAATTTTTTATTTTTTTTGTAATTGTTTTTTTTTGATGGCGAAATTTTCGTTTAATATTTTTTTCGAAATTTCGGAATTTTTGTTTAATATATTTTTTCGAAATTTCTGAAATATCTTTTGAAATATTTTTTTCGAAATTTCAAAATTTTGGATTTTTTTAATACTTTTTTTTTTGAAAAAAAATGTAATTTTTTCGGGAACAAATTTTAAAAATATTATTTTCGGATATTTAAAAGAAAATTTTTTCGGAGAAATTTATTTATTTTTATAATTATGGGGAATTTTTGAGTTATAAAATAAGATTGGGATGCTTCAAAATTTTGTTTCCAAAATTCCGATAAAATTTTTCGGAGAAAATAAACAGGCCTTTTTTCGAATTTTTTTAATATATTTTTCGATTTTTTTACAATTTTCGGAAAAAAAAATTATTTTCGAAGTTCGAAAAATTTCGGAACTTTTGAATATATTTTTTCGAAATTTCTGAAATATCTTTTGAAATATTTTTTTCGAAATTTCAAAATTTTGACGTTTTTAAACTTTTTTTTTTGAAAAAAAATTACTTTTTTCGGGAACAAAAAAAAAATATTTTCGGAATATAAAAAAATAGGCGAGAACCTTTCAAACATTATTTTCGGAGTACAAAAATAGACGTGAAACTTTTAAAAATTACTTTCGGAGAAAACAAATTATTTTCGGAGTATAAAAATAGGCGTGAACCTTTCAAAAAATATTTTCGGAGTAAAAAAAATATTTTCGGAGTACAAAAAATGGCATGATAAAAAATTGGCAAACAAAAAAATTGGCGTGAAACTTTTAAAAATTACCTTCGGAGTAAAAAAATTATTTTCGGAGTATAAAGATAGATAGTAAAAAATTATTTTGTGAGTAAATCTTTTAAAAATTATTTTCGGAGTACATATAAAAATAGGCGTGGATCTTTTAGAAATTATTTTCGGAGTGTACAAATAAGCGTGGATCTTTAAAAAAATAGGAATATAAAAATAGACGTGAACCTTTTAAGAATTATTTTCGGAGTAATAAAATAGCCGTGGATCTTTTAAAAATTATTTTCGGAGCATTAAAAATTATTTTCGGAGTAAGAAAATAGGCGTGGATCTTTTAAAAATTATTTTCGGAGTAAGATAATAGACGTGGATTTTTTTAAATTGATTTCGGAGCATAAAAAATTATTTTGGGAGCATTAAAAATTATATTCGGAGTAAGAAAATAGGCGTGGATCTTTTATAAATTATTTTCGGAGTAAGAAAGTAGGCGTGAATTTTTTAAAAATTATTTTCGGAGCATTAAAATTTATTTTCGGAGTAAGAGAATAGACGTGGATTTTTTTTAAATTGATTTCGGAGCATAAAAAATTATATTCGGAGTAAGAAAATAGGCGTGGATCTTTTAAAAATCATTTTCGGAGCATTAAAAATTATTTTCGGAGTAAGAAAATAGGCGTGGATCTTTTAAAAATTATTTTCGGAGTAATAAAATAGGCGTGGATCTTTTAAAAATTATTTTCGGAGTAAGAAAATAGGCGTGGATCTTTTAAAAATTATTTTCGGAGTATAAAAGTAATCGTGAAGCTTTTAAAAAATAGGCTTGGGTTTTTTAAAAATTATTTTCGGAGTATAAAAATAGACGTGGATTTTTTAAAAATTATTTTCGGAGTGTAAAAAATTATTTTCGGAGGCCTAAATCTAAGCTTGGTTTGTTTTTTTCTTTTTAATTTTTCCCAACTATATTTACCTGGTAAATATAGGGCATCTCATAAATATATTTGTCGTCTGTTTTATTTTCCTCCTTCATTTTGTTTTGATTTCTTTTTTAAGAACTCCATTAATTGGAAATAGGAAATTTAAAGCGGGGGTCGAAATATATTCATCAAACATTGAAATTGCATTGACAGAGAGAAACGTGATCGAAATAAAATATTCCCCACCATTTTACTCTACTGCAGAGAGAAACATACTCCAATCCTATAGAAAGAGAGAGTGAGAGAGAGGTAATATATCAGAGTGGCCATTATTTATTACCAGCCTCATTTACTTTTTGTTTGTCATATGTCATCTAACAACAAATATAAACATGCACGCCATGTAAGTACTTGTCAAGCAAATGTGGGTCATGTCGCCCCCTACCCATGGCCCTTACACACTTCATGTAATGCAATACGAAATTTGGAGCAATGAAGACAAAATGCGTTCTATTTTTTTTTTCAAAATTTCCAACGAATTTGGTACACCAAAAATAATTGGGGAGAAGAGTGCAATGGCATCTTAACTATCTGACATATCTGTCAAATGAGATATTGTGGGTATCTCTCTAAGATGGGGCCAAACAAAAAAAGAGCAAACATATTACATAATACAAAATCAGAAAAAACAAGTTCTGGAATTGTATCCATCATTCCAGTTTGCTCTTTATTTTTGTTTTTGGTTAAAATACTCTGACTGGAATTAATGAAAATGCACTGCCCTCTCATTTATGGTAGCAGTCATATCAGCATTCCCACAACCACAATGGAGTCAATAAACTGAAAATGGGTGAATTCTTAATTAGATTAGTTGTGTGGTATCGATTGTGCTGCACTTATGTTGAGACTGTGGCGATAACAGGTTTTTTTTTTTTAAATATGACAAACATGTGGAGGAGTTTGTGTATATAGACATTGTTTATATAAAAGGGGGTAAAAGTGAATGGAAGAGTTATAAGAAAAAAACAATTGGCTAAAAGGAGTTATACAAAAAATAATGACACCACAAAATTATATTTATTAATAAGATAATATTTTTTATCATAATTTGCCCTTTTAGATATTATTTTACCTATTTCCAATCAAAAACGCCTTCAAGAGGTCGTTTTATCATAATTAACCTCAATGTAAATACGCCCTTATCTTCCTTTCAACGTTTCTCTAAGTTGTCAACACTGCAGAGATCATCCCTTTTGCTTATCACAGCATCAAGTGCTGCACTTGTCAAACTCATTACATTCAAAGAGAGGAAAATAAAGGGAAAAACAACAACAACTTATTAATTAAGAAATTTAATAATTTTTTATTATTGGCAAATTTATCAATTATTTTATCCATTTCCAATCAAAAACGCCCGTAAAACGTCGTTTTATCATCAATAACCTTAATGTAAACACGACCTTATCTTCCTTTCATCATTTCTCCAAGTTGGCAACACTGCAGAGATCTTCCCGTTTTGCTTATCACAACATCAAGTGCTGCACTTGTCAAACTCATTACACCGCATATCAAATTACATTCAAAGAAGGAAAATAAAGGAAAACAACAACAACTCCCTTGAAATTATAAAATAAATATTTATTGATATTTTTGTTGTTGTTTTTCTTTTAAGAAAGACAAACACTTATCATAAAGAAGCCACACTTAAACTCAATTGGTTTCTATTTGTCTCTCTCTCTCTCACTCTCAACACATGTTCTCTCATTACTGTGTGTGAAGAAGCATGCTTCTTCATTGCAGCGGACAGTTTCAATGCTATGTGAGTGTGTGTGTGCGCGCTTGGATTAATGACCGGTATTTGTGCCGTATTGCATGCATGCAAGTAACATCTGATGGCAAAAGCAAAGAATATACAAAGAATTAAAGAATAACAAGAAACAAAACAACAATTTAAAAATAAAAAACAACAACAACACTTTCAAACTTGTCTTGCTATGGCAAGACAAAAACCACAAACAACAACAAAATAAATGCAGGTCAAAATATCATGGCTGGTTTTTTTTAGTATACAGAAAGGCCGTATGTTCTCTCTCTCTCAGTAACTATGACAAATGCACCAATAACGGTTTGTTTTAATCCTCTCTGAGCACATGGAG